TCATTTTCACCTGTTTTTTTCTTCAGTCGCATCCTGTTACCCCTCCTGGTCGCTCGCTCCAGGCTCTCCCTGCTCCCTGTCTTCATCTCACTTTCCTTCTCCTCCTCCTCCTCCTCCTCTTGATTGCGTGAGAAAGGTGCAAATCTCTTGTTATTCTCCTCCTCATCATATTTCTTCACTTTTGATTTGTATTTGGGTGCGTCTCTCTTTTCATCAGATCCAGCCCCTAGGAACGTGAAACATATATGATACTACGTTTTCGTGCTGCCACACCTTTACCAGAACACAGGCGGAGGCTACACTCCACCATCAGCAAGATTCCACTTACTGTAATGAGATATTTCTTGCCAGCTGGCAGCTTGTCCCACAGCACTGCTACAGTAGCTGTGCTTTATGGAAATGAACAGCGTGGCAGGAGCAATCACATAACTTTGTCGAGGCTACATTTTGTTGAATAGGTACACATATTTCATTGCACTTTACCAGTTAAGCACAGTGAAATCATTTCTCCATTAATCTTTTGAAAGGTGAATGATTCTGGCTGCTCATTTAAATTCTAGAATACAAATATATTCAATTATTTCTGTTGGTGTGCTGTCACTATGCCAGCCATATTGGCCTCAGTCCCTTGTAGGGGGAGGAGCAGTGAGGGGAGGTGAAAGTCATCATGTAGATGAAAGCATTTCCATCAGTTCCCAGTCATGTGGTGGCAGGCAGTTTTATCTACAAGGCAGTTTTTGTTTTATTGCACTCTGCCTGCACCGTCAGTGCAGCCTTTAATTTGCTTATGGGTTGTTTGGTTTTTGAGTAAAAGAAATCAGACTTGGCAGGAGCCTTCGTCTGAATACGCATGTTTTCTGTCATCTCTTCTTTTTATGTTTCTTTTTATTTGTCACTAAAATGAATCACAAACACAAGCCAGGCATGCAAATGGAAACACTGTATATACTTACCATTCCTATCCTTGGTCATGCTTTCCTCCTCTGAATTTGCTCTCTTCTCTTCATAGTCCTCTTCTTCTTCCTCTTCTTCTTCTTCCTCTTCCCTATTTTCAGGCTTGTCCTCATTCCACTCATCCACATACTGAGAGATGTGACTTCCAAGGCTCTCATCATTTTCCCTCTTCACCTGTGCCTCTTCAGCAATGTCACTGTCCTGCTGTGACACTCCATCTCTCAGGCGCTCATTATTTTCTTTCTCTTCACCCCCACCTCCTGTCCTCCTCTTCTGGGCCAGAAGGGACCTCTCACCGGGGCCTCCTAAAGCCTCCAGCATGGATCGATCTGAAAAGAGAGAGGAGCAGAAATATAATTGAATACAAGACACTGATTTTCCAGTGATAGTAAAGGAAGGTGCTTATGATTTAATGGAGCTGGGTTGGATTTTATATGGCAATAATAAAAATCATTTTATGGATCCAGGTTGTCAGACATGCAGTAAATGTTTGTTACTCTGTCGTGTGGAATTGTAAATTGTAATGGACTGATTGTTGAAAAAAAAAAACAAAGTATCTGAAGAATATTTGGTAAACGGTGACCGGCCCTTGACATTATCAAACACTTTGTAGAAAAAAAAAAAAAAAACTGATCAATTAATTAAGAAACTTGACAGATTTGTCAATAATAGAAATAACTATTAGCTGCAGCTTTTACTAGTATTAGCAGTAAAAGCATATCTGGAAATAATCAAATTCTGAATGTGGTTCAATAGCATGATAAGTAAAAAAAATTCTAGTATTTAGAATGAATGTGTTACACATGATAAACTGTTGTGTAGTAAATGCATTGTAACGTAATAAACAATGAAAAGTTTTGTCATTAATAGACTTGTTCTTTCGCCACTAGTTAACTGTTTACTTCACAGGGAGCCTGGCACTGACTTAAAAAAAAAGCCAGGTGTGCTGTCAGGTGGAAGGACCTCAGTGTTCATGTTTTGATCAGCAGAATTTAAAGTCACCTCAGCATTTCTCCTCTGTCTGTCAGCCATGCTTTGCTGACAACAGAAAACAAGAAGTAATTGAAGTAATACATCATTGTGACAGTTGGTGCATTTTAACATGTTGATTAGATGTTCCTTAAAACACACCTGACTGAAATGTTGTTGAAATAAATAGCATAACAATGCAGCATATAGAATAAAGTACAGTTTTCCATGAATCACAGTGACTAAAGAAACTCACCAGCGGCAGCATCTGTCCTCTGGGGAGCTTGTGCTGTTGGGGCAGGTGTATCAGCACCACTTCGCAGCTGAGCTCTCTCTTGGCCACCTAAAATTCAAATGAGTTATTAAGATTTTCTGTCTGAGCCATCTGTCTTGAGTTCATTTACATGTAAACAAGCATGTCCAGCACAGAGACATCAGCCTGTGCAATCTGTGACTCACCGTGAACACCGATCTCCTGCAGCTCCTTCAGAAAGTTATGATGACGAAGGATAGTAACAAGCCTGTTGTCTGCACAAACGTACACATTAATTACGTCTAGATAAAATTGCTTAAGACAGAAAAGAACAGACAACAGGCAATACAATGATCCTGCAGGATGTAAAACACAGGCATGTGTGATTCCCCTTCACTTTTTCACAACTCTCATCAATTAGCTATGGTAGCCTGTCCGAGTTAATTACCCAGAATTTTGCTGCTTTCCAAGTAGGAGCACAATTAATCATTAGGTCCTGCGGACCCCCCCCCCCCCACTGAGTTTCAGCAGCAGTGAGCAGCGGGCTTTCTGCTGACCCACAAATGAGACTGCATACTGTGTACTGCAAGCACAAAAACAGACAACTTCTGTACTGTTCAGTGCTCTGATCTTGTTTTTACTTCCCTCATATTTTTCTCATTTTCATTTTTATCATAACTGTGACTCCCCCTCTCCCTCGTCCGCTCTTCCATTTCACTCTGGTGGTGTACAGTTTCCCTCTCTCGTGGCGCCTGCTCAGTCACAAATGCTCAGTGAGTAATGCTCTGATTGATTTTTTTTACAACAAGGACAGCATCAAGGTAATACACTGCCTGTGTAACTGAATAGCCTTTACTGAGCACTAGTGACCCCGCTGTACTGTATATAGCAGCCTGCAGCGGGTTTTCCCTAGCAGACATTGCATCAGTCCATTAATCTTATGATGTGGTCATCATGCAGATATTTAAGGTCTTTCTTTGGGAGGGACTTACCTGCCCTCAGTGTGGCCAGACAGTCCTCACTCACAGGTACGGGATGAGGCCTTGATAGCACATCTGCCAGTGCTTCTATGATGCATTTCATCACCTGTGGACAAAGAAAGTGAACAAAATGAGGCAAAAGACTCAAAAGCCTTTGCTGTCACATGCTGATATTCATCTGGTTAGTATGTAAAGTATATATAGTATATATTGCTCAGGTTTTTATCAGTTAAAATTAATCTGCTTCTCTTTCAGTACAGTTATTATGCTGACTCATCTAAAGATGTGAAACTCTTAGATGAGAGCTCAAAATCCTTCCAGCTCCCTTGATGCATTCAGCGATGAGCCAGTCCCACATGCAAGATGATTTTCCATGTAGTTTTTCAACGCTTCTGCCTGCTATTTCTCTGTATCGTATGTTACTCATTCTCTTCCACTATCCACACATCATCTTCCCTTCACACAATCATCTGTTCAAACCCCATTCTAGAAACTACTCTCTCTCAATAGACTGTGTCGAATGCATTCAGCAATATCAGATCATGGCGGTTAAGGGTCTCCACTGCTCTCAAAACAGTATCTATTGATCTTAACAAGGTCATACTGACATAGCTCCAGTTGTTCAAGGTATTTCTAAGCACTTGTCTTCTGAGTGTGGCAAACCAGGAGTATGTTTGGTATCAGTGCTTACAGTTAATGGAATCTAGAGAATGTTCTTATACATTCAAATACTGCAGGGTTAAATATGATACTTGCAGTGGACTGTATTTCTACCGCTACTCCTCCTAATAATATTATTAATATAACAAATAGTAATGCTAGTAAACAATAATACTATTTAAAAAAAAATCTTTACCTTTACGTCCTCATTCTCCAGCTGACTTGAAGTCACTGGCAATGAAAGAACTGCAAGAAAAGCAAGAAAAGACAAACACATCCTATAATTATCTGCTATTTCTATAATCCCTAAAGCTCAAATGTTATTCCCTCTGTATCTAAAACACACGGACTGTTTTAGTAACAGGGGACTAAACGTGCCAAAGGTGCAGGTGGATTCACTCCGTATTTCGCTGCAATTAAAGCCTGTGTTTGTCGCTGTCCTTGGTGCTGAGCCCAGCCAGTCACATCTCTTAATGCAGCTTTCTCTCAACAAACCGACTCTGCTTTGTTACCATTTAACTTCACTGAGGGTTTTCTTACCGCAGTTGGACATTAGAATCAAAACGAACAGTCCGCTCCCGATCATGTTTGGAAACGAGGCGCATTAAGCTCTCCAGGAATAGAAAAATAGCAAAGCTTATACCAGAAGGTTTGGTTTGCTCCCTTTTGAAGAAAGCCCAGTGGGTTAGGGACGCATTCTGAATCAAACTTAGCCGCTTTTCGATATTTCTGGAGAGCTAAATTTCCCCTAGCATTGGTGACCCGGTAGCCTCCGTCCTCTCCGGTCTCCCCGCCAACACCTCGCCGCAACAGCGCGGCTTTTATAGGACCACGAGGAGAGCGGAAGTGACATCATCACGGGACAAATTATTACTACTGTACCTGATCATACCTCAGTGGTTGTCAGGGCGTGTGGCCTACAGGTTTACCTCATAGGCATGGAAGTGAGGTGGCCTCTATTCCAGTGTATTTTATTTTACTGTAATTATAGTGTTGGCCTGAGATTTTCAAATATTCTTATTAAGACTAATCTTGCTATAAAACTAAAAGACACAACAAAACACATCACTAGAAAACTGTCTTTATGAATAGGATCAGACAGGCCCAGTTTGTGAATAAATGTCCAGACTGTGTCTCTGTCTCCATCAGGTTGTTCCTATGCAGGTCATCATACTGTATTTGCTGATCATGTTTCTTGAATACATGAATGTGTTGCTAGGTGACACTTTATTGACAATGTTCGCTGTCAGCGCACATTGTGATCATGTGAAGGTCATTATCACATTTCATAACCCAGGACAGTGCCATTTACACTCCTATCAGTGGACACAACAGAAACACATAATAAGCTGTCTATGACATAATACTGTGTACAGTACAATATATGTTATCTAATATTTGATATGTGGTACAATTGCAGGTAATGTTTAAGGGCACAAAACAAGATGTAGTAGCATAATACATGATCTAGTGAAGGATGCATTATAAATTCCCATTGCTCACCATTAATATGTGACTGTGTCACTAATGGCTTTATGTAATTATTTAACATTAATTATTTGTCACAGTGAGAGTGTTAACATGCTAATTTAGCTCAAAGCACGGCCTGACAGGGCTGCTAGTATGGCTGTAGACTGTTGATATCAAACTGAGAAACAGCTGCAACTGTTTACATGTTGCTGCATGTTTGTGTCACATTTACAAATTATGGGGTGAAATTTTATTTATTAATATATTTGTAGTTTTGTGAAGAGAAGGATGCACTAAAATCAAAACCATGATGCAGATGGCAGTTGGCAAACCAGAGGTGAATTGACAGATATCATTGTAATGACTGAGAAAGACAAACTGTAAATCTGATTGTGAGCTGCCAGCATTGCTTCTTTTGTTTGGTTGATGGTCATGTAGCATTAATGCAGCCTATCAGTTAAACACACAGTGACATGATCATTTCTTAATGCTGAGCAACAGGTCAGATGTTGTACATCCTGAATTATTTCATTATTCTGCATTAGTTAAAGGGGCCTATATGTTTTCTTCCCTCATCATTAAGTGTTATCAAATGACCTATGACATTTTCATTAAAAGTCTTTAGATTAAACAAAACAAATATTGAACTGGTGAATTATTACATCATTTTAAGACCTTTCTGTTTATGAGGAACAGACGTATTGCTTATAACCAACTTATGGATCCTCCTAAACCTGTTTGCTTTCCTTTACCTCATAAGCACTGAGTCTCAGATGTTCATGGGCCTGTGAGGTAATTTTCTCTTTTTTGTACTGACACATTCATTAAAGATAGACAGACAAAGAGGGTTCCAGGGTGCGGGCTGGCTTTTTTGCTGTTTCAAATTTCCTGCTGCACCATCCACTGAGATCCCAAAGATCTCATTATGCCTTATGTTCAGAGAAACAATAAAGGCCAATTTGCGTCAGAGCCGCATCCATATTTGTCCACATAAACCAGCAACAGCTTTGTTTGAACATGAAGAGGATTTCCTTTGAATGCAATAATAAGGTTATTATTAAACCTAACAGCTACAAGGACTGATTTAAATTCACCCTATTGCAATCTCCAGGAGAGATGGTAGAAAACAGGGACATATGAAATATAGATTTCATATATCTTAATCTTAATATGCTTAACTAATTAAAATACAAACTGGGTCATGATAAATAAAAATGTTCATTTTATACTGAAAATTCTGTCTTCACATTTGAAAATGATTTAAATAAAGATTAAAAGGGGACCTCTCCCATTCAAAGTGAGTTTTGCCTGCATTATGTGTTATAGTATAAAAAGTATAAGACATGTTTATTTCAAACCATTCCAGTCTGCTCTATACAACTCACTACCAGTTTGCTGAATACATATTGTATAGTTTTCATTTCCATTCAAGGGTTAAAATATAATTTCTACAAGAAACCAAGTAACCTGAGATGAATTTAATATAGCATCCACCTGCCCTGGTAACGATACTAAATAAACCGAGTCAATAATACTGTGCTGTACACTTTGTTTAGCCAGAAAGCAGATGAGTAGGAAAATCATGTGTAGTAGATGATATACCAAGGCTACTTATGTTGAATGCTGATAATGTGTATGCACAGTATACTGTAGCTAAACAATGACCCCAGTCAGTGCTTTTGCTCCCTTGTGCTCAGTGCATAATAATGAAGGTACTGGGGGACTGAGAAATGAAAGTCATGCTAGTAAGACTGACAACTCCAGAGGGTACCATCATAAGCTGTACACACTAGTACCTTTTGTATGTTAATGTTACACTTGGCAAAAGAAGTGGGGTGACAGCCACCAGCAACAGCCTAATTTTAAAAATGTTTTACAGTAAATCCAACTTAATATATTACTGCTATGACTTTGAAGAGAGCGAGCTTGGTCAATATCAGCAAAAGCAACAAGGAGCTTATCAAACAACGTGCACTGTCCTTAGTACTAAAGAGAAGAACACTGAATAACAAATTTTGACTCTGGAATATGAAACACTGACATCAGACCTTATTATTATCATTACAGAGAAAACCCCAACAAATCCCCCCTGAGCAAGCACTTGGCGACAGTGGTGAGGAAAAAAACTCTCCCTTTACACCGACTCAAGGTGGGAGGCCTTCTGCCTCAACCGGTTGGGGTGAGTGGGTAGTTTTCATAGTCATCACTCCTGTCATTCTTATCATGGAAAATAAGGCAAATACACTCACTTTGAGTGTCTCAGAGCTTATTTAGTCATCTGAGTTGTCTGTCTCTGTCAGGCTTGCTCCCTCCCAAGAACCCCAAAACACACTCCCGGTCGGTATCGCTGCTACCTGCTAAATGTGTCCCTACATCAGCGACAATACTTTACAGGGGTAGGATACATTCCCCTGCTGGGAGGCCTCCCATGCCTGGAAAATCTAATAAGCATACAAAACGCAAAACTTTCCCTCCGCCAGCCTAGTTAGAGCACGAGTCTCCCCTTGGAGAATGGAAAGGAGAAAAGCCTCTTATGATGTGAGCTGACTCAGTTGGCCTCGTTCTCTGTAGTGTGGAGAAGCCCTGGTTCCTTAACCCTAGAACTGACTGTCACTCTACACTGATTTAGCGAGATAGGTAGGTAGGTAGGATTTTACTGATGCCCAAATGGGGAAATTCCTGAGATAAACACAGAACCTGTAATGTTTTCAAAAAGCAGGGTAACTATCACTGATTTGACACTACAGCTGTCTCTCTTGTTGGTTCCTTACTCTCTTACTTCTAATTGACGTCATCTTAGAAAACAACGTCAGTGTACAATATGTGGATTTAAAAAAGAGGACAGGCTAATTCATGCTACTAAGCTAAGAGCTCACAAGACATGACATACTGCAAAGGGTCAATTTTCACTTTAATAACTGAAGTACTGTCCCTGTAGAGCTCAGTTCCTTCCATACAAAGCCTGTTAGCCTTGAGACAATTCAGCCCACAGTATAATCTTGATATAAGAAAGTTAAAGAGTAAAACTCATTAATAATACATTCAATATGGTGTCAACCTTTGCACTTGACAATCAGGCTTCATAATATCACTGCTGTCGCTCTCATCACAGACAATAGGGCAAATACAAATCAATGGCATAACGCTTTGCAGGAGTGGGATAAATTCCCCTGCTGGGAGGCCTCCCAACATCCGGAAAATCTAATAATACAAAAAGCTAAACTATGACATCACCGGGCCTACTTGAAGCGCGAGACTCCCTATTGAAACTTGGCAGAGCGAAATCACCCAGAGACCTAATGCTAAAGTTCAATAAACTGTTTTTAATCAAAATCTGGGCAGTGATAATCTCTATAACAGCACTTAAAGATACAAAGTGCTGTTTATGTTTGGAAAAAAAAGCCCAGTTTATCTAATCTAACGTTTAACTTAACAAAATATTATGTGAGCCAAAAAAAGATTTTAAATGTATTCTAACAGATTATCTATAGGCTGAGTGAGCACTAGAGAAAGCCAGTGTCCCACACAGTGGTACAGACGATTAATCTAATGTGTCAGAGTATGAAGTGAGCCCAGAGTAACACGCAGCCTCGGGCAGATCTCAGGCAGAGTTTGCCCCAGTAACCAAAGCAGTGCAGGACTATAATGCCTGGCTGATACACTGACTGTATGTGACCCTGGTAAACGAGTGAGGGGCATGAGGAAGTTAGATGGTTAACAACTAAACTCCGTCCCCGGTAGGACATGAGACCAACACAGATGGGCATGTGGACAGACAGGCAGTGAGAGAGAGAGAGAAAACTAAGTTCCTTCAATACTTGCTTTATGAGAGTATCTGGAGGTGCTACAGCAGCAAACCGGTCCCACATCATGGAGGTTGTCAGATGATTAGTGACCGAAACTGCTCCACCTGGATGATATGAGAAGCAAAGACAGATATACTGTAAGTTGCCATGGTGACCATGAACGGAGACAAAAAAAACCTGCGTCTTGTCAGTCCTCACCTTCTGAGCATCCTGCCATGCAGCCACGCCACGACCAACACTGCTTGTTGTGGTGTCTCATGTCAAAGTTTAGTGCCTTACCTTTTTTATCAGACACTCATGGCTCCATTTACTTTTATGGACAGACAAGAACATGCAAACAAAGGATGAAGAGACAAGTGTGCATGAACAGAAACTGAGACAGACAAACATAAAAAGACAAAGACAGATGTAGCTGTGCAGACAGAGAAAGAGTTTGATGGACAAACACACAGGTGAGGCACCAAACCAGGCACCTCCCAAAGCCCAAGAGATGAAAATAAAGATCAGAAATGGAAGATAGAGACAGGCA